AGGGTTTTTAACAAGAAACAGGCAAGGAAAAAAAAATTCCCCTCTCATACATACCATGCTATGAGAAAGATATAATATATTTATATAGAAAGATTTCCAAGATTACGCCTAGACTGATAGTTAAGTATGAACACAAGATCCCCTTCAAGATAGAAATGTCACCTAAATCCCAACACTTTTAGAACCATTAATTAACATAATATACTAGCTAGCAGAAAAAATTTATTAAGATAAACTTCTTCAGTGATGATCACTGTCTTCTTTAGAACCATTGAGCATTGTCTTTTTTGGAAGAACACAATAAAAGGTAAAAGAAAAAATGGCAGCAAAAATGTTAATTTATGACGGAAAATGCTTTTACCTGATTTGTAAAGCAAGTTTTTTTTTTTTTTTTTTAACAGCAAAGTATAATATTTATTAATAAACGGAGTACAAGGGGTACCCCAAACCCATAAACAACCAAACTTGACAGGTTTCATAATACATGAGTTGATTAGTCTTTCTATTTGGTGTCGACCCCTGAAGATTTGTAAAGCAAGTTAAAAGAAAAGAATTTGATTAAATTATCATGGCCTTCCACCTTGGTGCATTTGTCATTTCTAGATTTTGTCATTAACAAGGGAGAAGCAGACGCAATTTAAAAAAAAAAAAATGAAAATCATAATGAAGGAGAAACTTTAGTTAATTTGATCATGTCTTTTTTTTTCTTTTTTTGGTGGAAAATTTGATCATGTCTTTAATTGGATAATTAAGGAGAAGAAAAATCTTTAAAAAAAAAAAATACACCAGGGAATATTCAAAATAATGCATACCTTTTCCTTAAACACCTGTTGTATGGTGGAGTTAAGGTTGCCCTCCCAGCATCCTTCATCCTCATGATATTCTTTCAATCTGGCCAGATTTGGAGTGCTTAGTTCTCCATTGGAGAAAATCTGCATATTTGGACACTCTCTAACAATGACAACTTCCAAATCTGGGAATTCAAAGTTGCAAACCCCTGAACAGAAGCTTGCTAGTCTTGGTAGACCTTCAAGTTGCAAATACTTCAGCTTGCTGAGAATAATGCCATCCTTTACATCATCACCCAAGCATACCACAATTTCTCCTATCGTCTCACATTCTGTTACTTGCATTGTTTTGAGTTGCACCAGGCTTTTTGCAGTTGAGTATCTCACTAAATTGACAAGTCCATGACACTTGGATACTTCCAAAGTCTGCAAATTGTTGAAATGTACATTGGATGGCACTAAATTCTTCAATCTGCTACATTCTTGAACTTCTAGAGTTTTTAGGTTACTAAAAATTGATTCAATTTGGGATTCTTCCTTCCAAAGATGTGTTAGCTCATGGAGTTCGGACAGCCTTAGTTCGCATAATGGAGTGCGTCCACATACAAAAGGTTTCTCCTCAACACCAGCTTCTTCACATTGGAATACTTCATTGAAGAAAGTATCCCTCACAACAAGCTTTTCAAGACTGGGCAAAGACTGGAAGAAAAAGGGTGGAAGAAAATTTGATATCTTAGGAAAACAGGAGAGTTCCACCACCTTTAGTTTGCCGAAGTACTCTTCTGGATGCTGTCCATACCATATCTCCTTTATATTGTCATTCCATTCCAATTTCAATTCTTCTAGACTCGGAAATGTATCCTACAAAATTTAGATGAGTAAAAAACATGAAAATAAGGATACTCTAAATTTTCAACAAA